TCTCGAAGTGAATCCGGTATTCTGGCTTCCAAGTGCAGCCTCCGGGTTTGAGATGCCGCTTTGAGCCCTGTAGCAGGCAACAGGCGAAGGTTCAACCCTGATTTTCTGCCCGAGTTACGGTGCATATGCCTCGGAGACAATAGCTTCATCCTCTGTTCTCACCAGTGACCACGTCGTTGGCTCCAGGTCTGTCTCTGAAGAGGGTGCGGTGCTTGGTCAAGCAATCGAGTCACTCCGGTGTACCTCGCCGCGCAAGTCGGAATGCGTCGCAACCTCACAGATACGACAATGGAGGTCGGGGGCGTTTCTCGACCGATGACGAGCCCCACTGATCTGCACGAAGTCTGCCAGAACGAGCCGGGATGCTGCCAACTTTCGCACGCGAGGGCTGAATCCATCAGACTAAAAAAAAAATAAAAAAAAATAAAGATACCCATGGTTGTGTGGCCTTTACATACATGCAGGCATGGCATTGCTCTGATAAGGCCTCTCAATGGCCCTCGCTTGAGCGGCCAGGGCCAAAAATGGCCACCGATGAAGAAAGGTCTCTATACTAATGGGACTAGGGAACGGAGGACATCCTCTTGTTCGAGAACGCAACATACACAGTGAAGACGGCAGCAAGGATCTGATTGGCAATTTTGGCCCCCATCTCCGGTGTCAGCCCCAGAACCTCATTCCATCTATGCCGGTGAGACAAGAGGAGGATGGCGTACAAAGGACGGATAGGTACACACAAACGTCCCAGTACTTAGGAAGCAGGTTTATGGGAAATGAGGGCACACGATCTGTACTCTCGGAAGTCTTTGACAGCAGCATCATCATTACCGTGACCACCATGGTCATCTGACTACAAAGTTCCTTGGAAGAAACCCGGGAAACACAGCGTGTCGACCGAGTATGGGCTGTTGATGCGTGAGACTCAAGTCCAGGGAACCCGTCCTCTCGACAATAATAGTCTTCCCGTATTCCGTGGTTTGCTGAGACGGGAATTGATGCCCGCAGGCTTCGGTACACGCCGCACGTGAAGTTGTCAAGACTCAAGAGTGCGGAGCGTTAAGGAGGATTTGCTCCGGAAACAGCCAACCGCAAGTCAGCACAGCACGACAGCAAGGCAGCATGAGCAAGGCAATGGTGATGGGAAAGCCAGCATGGCCCCATGGTGCGATCTCAACGTACCATTGCTTATTATCTCGGCTCGGTCGATACTCCATACTCGATACATAGGACTGCGGTCGGCTTCATCTCAACCCATCACTCCTGAGTTACAGCTCCAACTTCCAAAAGAGCCATCAACCTTGCATCAAACATGAAAGAATGTGGGCACCAAACGGGTCACATCCACCGAAGAAGCTCAGACTGTATCCCTTGAGTCCTTTCACGTCAACATCTGGCTGCCATATCCGGAGGTTCAGATCCTCAGTGGGGGAGGGGGTACTGTGACTCTCAACTTGGAGTCTTGACTCTTCTCCAATCTCCATCTCGTCTCTCTCTCCTCATCTGTCGTGCCCCCGCAGGAGAAGGGAATGGGGGCAGTGGGCACTGCGGCAGGGAGACACAAACATGGGCAAAAGAGGCAGGCCGTCGATATCCTCACTGGGCGTACACCATTTTCTACGCACGAAATCTCTTCACTGCGTCTACGTCTACGGATACTCGTACATGGGTTGCGCGTGCCTACGCTGCTACGCATCCTGGAAAGGGCTAAATGACGTAGTGACCCGTTTCACGGCCCTCAGCCGTCATCGGGCATTAACGTGCAAGATCGAGTCTTTCTCTCATGAACTAGGCGCCTGGGGCTCTTAGCGGTACGCAGGGCTTAAAGTGGTCAACAATAGCCCCGTAGGCCCCCCTAACCAGCCCCCCACAACGCCGGCCTCTTGCTCCAACCACGCTGCCAGCTTTGTGCCGTTGCCGCCTCAGGCGGGTGCTGGCGTCCTTTCTACAGGGGAGACCACGGAGACCAAGGAGACTAAGGAGACCAAAGGAGGACTACAGGGGCGCGAAGGGGCAGTAGGCGTCTTTTCCGTGCGCTAGGAGCGTCCGCCAGAGCCCGCAGTTTCAGCAGTAGCATCCACTTCTATCTGAGGCTTATTAGCGAGCCGCGAGGAAGCCCGCAACTTGCGAGAAAACTGTCGACAAGTCCATCATCAGGCACTATTCCGGCGGCGTCTGGTCAAGAGGGGCTGTTCAGGTTCTCGAGATGGGATGGACGAAGTATGACCGGCCACCGGCCACTGACGGACATTAGCTACCGGTATTCCCCCGGACGAGCGCAGTCTCAGCTTCCTCACCTTCAAACTGTCGGACTGCGGTAAACGATGGAGATGGAGATGGAGACGGAGACGGAGAGGTTGCCGTACAGTCTTGATACCGGAGCTTTTCAAACAGAGATCACCGATGACTATGGAGTCGCTACATGTCCACTCCAGATGGACGCGGCATGGGTGGTTTGCAGTCTCCAGAGGCATCCCCATGGGCCCCCCCTCGCTCAACGGCCCCTCTAGGATGTGTCTAGAGTTCTAGATCACCAATGGAACCCATCAGGGCGTCTCTCTCGAGCCTCCTGCCCGCCTGGGCTTTGGAAATTGCATCTGTAAATGGCATGGCCATATCGACCGAACACGAGAGGCAATCGACAAAGCCGTGCGAAACTCTGAGTGAACTGCACCCCGGTCGTCTCACCCCCTCCCCTGGGCGTTCTGGACATGCAGCATGCTCTTGGAATCAAATTGCTTGGGCATTTGGCACACAAAACACAATCTTTACCACTATGCGTGGTGCTGTAGACACTTGCTCCCGCCGCTTTCCCTTCTGACCGCTTCTTCACCGAGACCTCGTAGAGGCCTACCGAGACATTCACCGCGCATACACCGCACAACGCCATCGCAATCTAGCCAAATATACCACTAGCTCACTGCATCTGGCATAACGGCAGTTCGGCACTCGAGGCTGTCGATGACTTCCTTGATATTTGATCAATCCCTTGCAGCCAAGATCGCCGTGTAATCTGAAGACGGTTCGAGCTTCATCGAGAAGACGGGACGCGTACCTCTCGCCCGGGGTTCGATCCCCAACCGGCAGGCCTCCTCGAAATATTTCGCTTGCACTTCCACGTAGCGGCTTTGCCTTGGTTTTGAGATGCAGGCCACTCCCGCGTCTCATCAACAAGATGCTCGCATAGGCACCAGTGATCTGCCTATCTGCCCATCCAGGTATTCGTTCCTTGGGGATCGAGTTGAAAGCGCCACTCTTCTCAGTCGAATTATCTCTTATGTGGCTGACCCCGGTGGCATCGAGCCACACGTAGCTGCGCCCCATGTACTACAAACATCACCCTAAACCAAGATTACAAGTGGTTTTGGGGTTAGGGCAGCCATCACACTTGCCATCACCCACCACGCCGCCGCAGTCGGACCAAGAGACTCGCCACTGGCGGCTACCGTGGCTTACACCTCTGTAGATTGTGGATGCCTCTGGATTTCGTTTTGGCTAACTAATATCCCTCAAAAGGGTGGCCGACGTTCCATTGGACAATGGAACATCCTCGATATATTTCATGCGCAAGCTACTAGAGCTCGGGTTAGCACTCTCAGGCTTATCTTGGACAGACGCTCGATCAAATAGCGGTGAGATTCGCCTGGACTTTGTTCGAGGATGCGGACGCTCCAATCAAGCGTTTGGTTGGCCAATCTTTCTTCACCTTTGAGGCTCAGACGGTGTTGGTCTACAGATCTACAAGATAGAGTTTCGTCCATTTGCCGGTGCCATGCTGGAACCGCGACCCACCTGCTACCGTGCGGACGCCGCCGTGTCGATCTAGGATGAGGCTCTTTATCAACTCTGGTCTACCTAGCCAGAAGCATCTTCACCGTGCCGCAAGAACACGCGAGGGCGTCTGCCGCACGGAAAGTTTCCTGCCGTGCACACCGTAATGAAGAGATACCTACGCCATTCCGGAGCGATCAATCCAAGCTTTTCCAACGATCCGAAGATGGTGTTTACAATTTGCCATACAGGCCACGGATGCCTGGCCGAAGCCGCACCGAAGACCGATGGGCTGCGCACGAGATATAAGCATTACCATGAGGCCGGCAATGTGCATGAGCTGCTAATTTCCGCACCGCAGACGAGGGAACTTGTAAGATCTGAGAGGTCTAGTGATCTTTTGAGCCTGCAACGTCGGATTCTACACGCCAGCCGGGTTTGGCAAGCAGCACGAATGGCCCAGGGCAACGGATTCCATTCGTCAACATTAATATCTGCCCTAGCAAGATATGTGCGGCTTTTGTGTACACATGTCGTGATACGGTTTTCAGCCCAGCATGACAAGTGTTTACCCCGTTTTCTCTTTCATATCGTTCGAAAGTGGCACCGAAATCCTGGCCGTCTGAGCAGTCGGGACCTCGGAACACAGCATCTTCAGGAAGCTTTTCCGATTTGCCAGTCATCAAGCGAAACTGGTCATCTGACACACTGTTCACAATATAGAAGCTTGACTGAGCAACGCTAGGTATCACGACGAGGCAGTAAGACGGGAGCTCCCATCTGGACCCTCTAGAGTTAACAACCTAGCCGCCACGCAATACCTCGAGCTTCGCCATATCATACTGCACTAGGTTGAGGAAGACGATGACTTCGTACACACTACTCACACCCTTTACTTCCGACAGAAGTTCTCAACGAGGTTCTCGGATGGCCTCATTCCATTGCTTTGACGGAATGTTGCACAACATTAGCCAACACACGATCTTCGGGCTTTGCCCAGACGTTCACCGGCAATGTTGCACAACAGAGAACACGCCCAGAGCGAGGAAACATAGTATTTGCCTTTGATATCCGCTCGGCGAGGACGCAATGCCTCTACACCGTACCAATGGGAGGGGATCTAACTACCCCGCATTCTCGAGGTCGGTGAGTTTACTTACTGCCCGTTTCACGCCCACAGCATGCAGTCAGCCTCGGGGACGCTGGTGGCATCAATATAGAATGTCATCGGCTTACTTCATGAAGCATTGCTGCAAAAGACTTCGCTGGCAATGTAATGGTAAGATCGTTTGTACGTCGCCACCCCATTGGTACTGGTCGTTGGCTGACTGGGTGTAGAGCAATGGCGATGTTACACCATGATGAACCTATTCGCTAGTCATGATGGGGATGACGAGCGACCGGACAGTACCATGGCATGGCGGTTTGTTAGGACTCGCCGCGGGCAACATCTAAACAGCCGGGCGTTTTTCTCCCAGGCAATGCCATGCCCGTTGATGAGACGACATTCAGAGGCAACATCTTCCATCGACCAACCAGCGTCTTGCATCGTTACCCCACAAACCTTCACTGCGACGACAACGACGTGGAAGCTCCAGTTGGCCATGCCATGTCGACCTTGCATTTCCACGGCGTCCGGTGGCACAGAGCAGCGAAGAGACCGTTTCAGCATCGTCCCTAGTTCTCCAGGTCTAGCTTGGAGAAAGCGGGGAGACGGGCCAGGCGCTAAGACGAGACCTCTGGTCTCACGGACGTTATTCTTTCGAGGACCATACCACGTTGAACAATGGTTCAAGCCACCGACCTTGTTTGGGCGTCGACTGCCGCCCGCAAACCGGTGCTTTTCTAAATCGTCCGAGGCGTTTGTGTTGAGGTTGTTGCTTACTCAACGTGGTGGCGGGACACTGAAGCGGAGAGGTCGGCTGGGTTCACCGCTGTTGTCATGGCGTCTGAGTTTTCCCCGGAGCGGCGCCGGATGGAGCAAAGGGGGCAATCTCAGGATACGGCAATTCAGATTTGCCTCTTTTTGGGGCTTCCCGGTAGACCAAGAAGGGCATGCTTTTGGCCGTTTTAGGAGGGGGAGGTGTGTGTGTTTCGTCGACGAACTCTGGACGGGCACACACTCACGCACGGCATGGGTGTTTTGTGAGTTAGACTGAACCTGGCCACTATCAAGACTAATCTGGAAGTTTGAGTCTGGGTTCGGTTTTTCAGGGTCCTTTCCTTGTTCAACATTGACTTTTCCCCGGGGCTGGGAACCTGGGGTAGTCTGGGGAACCGATCTTCAGCTACGGACGAGAGTTGGGTTGTATAGCTGACGGTCAAAGGCGGGGAGTGCTTGCGGATGTCTTGTGCTAAGCTTCGTAGTAGGATACGTTACACGCCAGCCATCTCGAGTACTTGCGCCTTTGTGCAGGTACTGGAGATGTGTGAAAAGAGCTTCACGGGCAAACCAGTTTGGTCTGGTTTCGACGCCCGCTTGGTTTGAGGCCTGGCAGTCAATCAAGCAAGAGCATGACAAGGACAATGGAGTCTGATGTCGTCCTCCACACATCCACACCAGATATCCACGTCGGCCTCCTATGCGAGGATGGGCAGCAGCGGGGGAGTTGCGATACTTTCATGACTGAAGCACGATCCGGGGATTGTCAACCGCATTCGATAACTTCTCTTGATAAGACGGGCGGGGAATTCCTGGGCTTCACCTGAGGCTGTAATGCAGACCGCAACGCAGCTCGATGGGCATGATTTCCATGCACCCTTCCCCATTGGAAATATCACTACGAGCTTAAAGGTGGAGATGCAAATCGGTCTCTAGATCGACCCCGCCTTTGTTGCTCCATGGTCGAACTCCTATGGGAAGCTCTGGCCGTGGCAGTAGCAGTAGCAGCACTAGCTTGAGCTCTGAGATGAAGGGCATGTAATCATGTACCGATTCTATGTTCACGGCCATAGCCAGCGTCGTGGGACAGGGGCCGCGCCGTCAGCACACCAACTCGACTCCGGTCGAACCCAGCGGCTCTTTTTATCACGTAACAGGGATAGTAATCGCACCTTACGAAGTACCCGTTACGTACTAAATTACGTATCTATCTTAGATATTATATATATAGACCTTTTCTTTTTATCTATTTCTATTTTAATAATTAAGCTACTTTTATTATACTCCGTATACTTATTATTATATACTATAACTCGTAATAATTATAAACTTAGCTCTTAATTAAGACCTTATATTATAATAATATACTTATTAATACGATTTTTACGATTTTTTTAAAATAATTAACTTATTTATACTTACTTTAGCCTAAGCTAAATTAACTAATTACAATAGTTAGATTAAATAGTTTAACGTACTTTATATTATAAATAAGAGCGTTAGGGTCTAGAAGTACGTTAACTTAAACGCTTTAAACTCTAACGTATTCTTCGACCCCTCTATAATACTTATTTTACTCTCTAAATTTAAATAATTAGTTATAACCCGTAATAAAAAAAAACTACGAGCTTATTAAGCCCGTTATAAAGCGTTTAAAAATAACTAAAAAAACTAAAAAATCCTTTATTAGTAGTTTCTAAATATAATTCTTAATACGAACTTTTTAACTTTTTTAAATATAAATAACTTATAGAACTAAGCTAGGTTTTTTTTTATAAAGCTAGTTATATTACTTATTTTATATAAATAAATCTATCCTTATACTATACTTATAAAGAGGATTTATATACTTAAGAATATTTAAAAATAATAAGAGCTTAATACTAAATACGAGTAATTTATAGTTTATAAACGTAATATTATTAATACGTATATTAAAGTCCTTATTTAGTAATTAGTAAAATTAGTTAACGCTATATTATATAAATACGTATTTTAAAAAGTTACTAAGAACGGCGCTAAGTTTAATATATAGCAAATTATTAAATATTTAAAGTAGGAATTTATACTCCCCGAATTAGTAATAAGGAATATAGTTTAAGAGGAATATTAATAAGCTTTTAATAAAATAAGGATTAGAATTAACCCCTAATACTAATATAAAGAGTAATAATCTACTTATTTTTAAGTTAAAACGTATAATATTCTAGAAATTAGTAAAAAGATTACTATATTTAACTTTTTAATTATAGTTAAGTTTAGATTTAACCTTATATAGAGCTAACGTATATATAAAACCTTTAGTAAATTAATAGTTTTTAAAACGTATATAAGGACCCTCGAGGAGATTATATATATATTTAGCTTAGTAATTTAGGATATATATACTAAACGACCTTTAGGTTAAGGAGGGGCTTATTCTATTTTTATTAAACGCTCTAACTTAGTTAATAATATAAATAATAAGAGTAACGTTATATATTCTTATAATTACGTATATTTATAGCGCCCTATGGCGTATTAAAAATTAAAATAAGTACTTATAAACCAAAACGTTAGTAAGTTATTAATACGAATACTAAAGAGTTATATAAAAAAAGTCTTTATTATTATTAAATTAAATAAGTAAAAATTATTTTATAGTAAGCTTAAGAAAGCTAATTAGCTAAGGAACGATAGTATTCCTAAGAAACCTAAGTTTTTAAAAGAATCCTCTAACTAACCTATAGCGAGCTTATTAATAAACTAGGACGAGGGCTATATAATTACTATACTTATAAAGAGTTAAAACTTAGAAATAAACGTAATTTTTAGTACTTTTATAAGTAGCGCTTACCCCCTTTTTTAAAATACGGTAATAAATAGCTATAAAGTAATATATTTAGTTAATAATAAGAGCCTATTTAAACCCGAGAGTTATATACTATTAAGTAATAATAACTATATTAAATTAGGAACTACTATACTACTTATTATTATACGTAATACTCGTATTATAAAGGGCGTCTTAAATAGACCTAAAAAAAAGGGAACTTACGATTTAAAGCTCTAAAATATTATTTATATTAAGGGATTCTATATTAATATAGTTTTAAAAACTTTACTAAATAAAAGTATACTCTAATATTATAGTCTAGATTATATTTTATAATAAGGAACGCTTTATAAGAGTACTATTAAAAAATAACTTATTTAAAAGAATAATTTAGTTTTTTTTAAATATAAGCTTCTCTAATCCTATCTTTTTTTTATAAACCTTAAGTATGTCCTATAGAGCCTAGTTAGTATTATACTACTAGTTAACTATAGAAAATTCTATTACTTATATTAACGTACTTATAAAAAGTCTAATAACGCGCTCTTTTAGTACTTTAAAATAGGTTATTTAGGACTTAATACTCTTTATTAATTACTATATAAAACTCGAGGTATATATATTAAACCTTTATTATAAGTTAAGTATAAAGTATATATATTATTTAAAGCTAAGATAATAGTTTTAAAAGGGCTATCCTTAAGAAGAGCCTTATAACTATAATACTATATATATTAAAATCTCTTTTATTTTAAACTATTTCTAAATAAACGATAATATATATTTATAGTTTTTAACGAATATAATAAGTAGCTTAGGGGGTTCTTTTTAAGGATTAAAATAAAGGAGAAAGTATTTTTTATATTATAGAGCCTCGAGGTAGCGATTCGTTATTAAAAAGGGACCCTAATTTATTTTTTTAAAAATAATAATAAGACCGCCCTCCTAACTATAAATATTAAATACGTATATAAGACATAGTATAATAAGCTAAGAATCAGAATAGAACTTCTATTTCTATATATAAAAGAACCTATAAGTAATATTAAAAGAGTAAGTTAATTTATAATTACTAAAGCTTATAAAATGCGCTTTTTTATAAACCTCTTTATAAATTTATAAAACGAAATAGTACTAATAATAATCTTTATTTATAATATTACTTTATGGAAGGCTAATAAAGAAGATTTGCTTATTATAATAGAAATTAATTAGTAAAAGCGGTATTAATACTAGTAATAAACGGGTTACTAAGTATGGGATTTTAAACTAATTACCCCGTATTTTAATAGTCTTTACGTATATAGTTACTAAGTATACCCTTTTTATAAGAATCGTAAGAGGGGTATATATTAAAAAGAGTTTAAAGTACTTCCTTATAAGTATATAAAATACTTAGTTAGATATATATTAAAAATATATAACTTATATAGGGTCTAAATACTCGCGCTTAAGTAAGTATTTATTATAAAAAATATTAGGTTTAATAAAAAAGTTTTTTATAATCCTATATACGAGGAGTAAGTTATTATAAGCGAGTAAGTAAATTTAGTAATTTAAGAGATATAAGAACTTTTTAATACTAACGATAAGCTAGTTTAAGTACTTAGAGAAGTAGATCTAGATTTTAAAAATACTAGTACTTAAAATAACTCTATAGTTAAGAATAGTATTATTATTAGATTTTTAACTATTTAGGATACTAAGTAACTAATAAACGTACTCTAGGGTATAGTTAATAAGGCTAAAGAGGCTAATATAATTTTATTATTATTATTAACCCCTAAAATAACCCCCTTATACGAGCTTAGGGATAGGGGTAAAGAAGAGGATATAATAACCGGGTTATAAACAGCTCTATATAGTTTATAATCCTCTTTATAAGCGCTTATATATATTATAGAGGTTCTTAAACTTTTAATTCTTAATAACTTTTAATAAAACGTTAAAATACACAATAAATAAGGTATTAATTACGAAAAAGTAATTTTTAATACTAAAGTTAACGTTAATAAGGAACCCTTATAATAAACTTTTATTATTATATAAAAATAGAGCTTATAAAAACCGCCTTATTAAGTACTAAGTAAAGCTTTATTAAGTCTTAAATACTTAAACCGGGCCTATAAACCTCTATAACGCTTTAATAATAGTATTTTTATAACGCTTTTATATTTAAATATAAAAGATAGTAATCACTATAACCGTCTCTAAGATTACTTTTTTTTTATTTTTATACCTAATTAA